CAGTACCTAGCTTTCCCCAGGCCGCCACCTCAACGTGGTGACTGCCAGTCTGCTCTCCTTCACAGTAAGGGTCCAGCTGAGCGGTCCTCTCCCTACTTTGAACTCCTTCTTCCATGTCTGATGCTCAACACAGTTATTATGGAGCTGGTGTGCAGCCACATGAAGCTCTTTAGCCTGTTCCTGATCAGTGTGGGGTTCATATACCGTGTCAGGGTAGCTTAACAAAATAAATGTGACTGAAACATGGATGCATATGTTTAATTTTCTTTAAAAACAACAGTTACACAATTTTATTTCATGCATGAGTTTACCAGCATTCTAGACTGTAAACTTCATATTTGATGGGATAAATTTTTACGGCAAATGGGTGGTGTTTAGACTCATTTTAAATATTGTATTTTGTCTCTTCCCCCCCTTCCCCTCCCCTCAAAGAGATTAGAATCAAAATTATTTTAAGTCATGAGAAGAGATTACAGATGGTCTGGCAAGTCAAGAGAAAATCTGCTTAGTTTTGAAAAAGCTGAATATTCATTATATGGGCATTTTATTTTAATAAATAGAAATCTTAGACATACGTCTTGTCCTTCTTCAATACCAATGTCTGCCTTTGCAAAGTGGAAATATTTGTGTGTGTGTGTGTGTGTGTGTGTGTGTGCTTTTGTTTAATATGGAAACCAGATTTTTTCTTCTGAATTGGGCTTCATGTATCCAGCTGATCTTAAATATGTGTTTGTGACTGAAATAGTGCCAATAACTCATTATTATCTTTGATCTAAACTTGTTCTAAATACTTTCTATGAACAGCCTTTTAAAACTACTGTTTACAAAAAAAAAGAGGAAATTCAGGCAAACTGTTAGTGTTGAGACACAAGGCAGGAAACTTAGTTAAGGCAGATGCTGTCTCATTACCCCCCCCCCCCCCCCCCCACCTACTCCGACAGACCTAAGTGCCTCAGTCTTATCCTGACATTTCCTTAAGATTTTCAGGCCTGTATTTGAAAATAATTACTTTTGTTTAAAATTATTTTAAAATGTAAAATCTGAGAATTCTTGGGTCATCCATATGCTGTTCCATTTGCTCATTCCTATAGTAGGAGGAAAAAGCTAGAACACGGATTTGTGAGTGTGTGCTCTTAGAAAATAACCCATACTTTTGAGTGTGAATATGACAGTAACCGAACTGCAGGTCTCAGTGCAAAGAGGATTTCCTTTCCTTTCTGTCCCAAAGCTAGTGTTAGGAACACAGGGCCCTGTGCTGGTGGCAAGATATTATTTTTTATCAGACTCTGTACCTTACCCAGTTCTGCTGCTATCACTGTAGAGACATGACAGCCCTCTATTTTCCATTAGTCCTCATGGAACAATCAGTGTGTGAAATTGACATTCTATTAAAGTTCTTCAAAAGGCTTTTCAATTTATCCCATTCAGAGGATTTAACATCTATTTTTAAACATATAGAAGAGATGAGGTTGGTGGTTTTTGTTTTTGTTTTTTTCCCCCCAAAGCCCTGCAGGATTTTTGTCCATTTCTGCTTGAGCGTTTAATCCTTGGGTGTGTTGTGATTTGTCCCTCCCCCTCCTGTTCTACATGTGTTTTAACCCTTTCCCAGCCACGTCCTTATTTTTGATACTGTTCCTTCAAAATCAGGCAAATGTTTCTCTGCAGATGTCATTCGGAAATTGCTTTTACAGAAAGTACAGGTCAGACCTGTCTAATTTGACGCTCTGTGGTCTGGCATGATTTTAGTTAGCTAGACGTCCACTTATCATGGGTGTGACCAGGTTTCCCACGGTCCCATAAAGTTTGCTTACAGACACTAGTCCTAGCTCTCAGTGTTCTGTGTTGTTACTTGACTCTTATTTACCCCTAAATGTCTTCTAACATCCCATTAAGCAGTGGAAGTGTTGGTAATGCTGCTAGACAATATTGACCTCCCATGGTCCAGCAAATTATCTGGTTTGGCCCCAGTCTGTTCCCGAGGGTGCTGGACTAGAGAGATTCAACCTGTAGTTTTTTTTTCTTCCTAGCTTGGTGTCTGATACTATGATCTCTGCTATATGCTGGTGGTGAAGTTTCTGTTTTGACTGGCAATAGAGTGGTGCTTTTGCTCAGTTAGGTCATGACTGTTAGTGGATTACTGAAAAGGAGAGTTGTGGTACACCACCTGGCTATTCCAGAACACAAAATCTAATAATTTTAAGGTTATAGCTCCCCTTGCTGCATCAGAAGTCAATCTTCTGGCATTTGTTTTAGTGGGTCTAGTAAAGACCTTCTAAATCGAATGCTGAGTGGGCCTCAGTTGGTGCTGGTACTCCTAGCAGTCACAAAGAGTAAAGGAGCTGACCGGGAGCATTTGCTCCTGTTGACTTCCCACTGTGAAGACGGCGCTAAGTTCCGCTTAAGGTATGTCGACTCCAGCTACGTTATTTATGTTATTTACGTAGCTGGAGTTGCATCCTTTAAGCTGACCTTCCAAGTCTAGAATAGACCTGGCCTAAAATAACTATGTAATTCTCTTCTTAAAAACAGTTTTCTGAGGGCAAATAGTTACTGAGTTTAAATGTAGAAATTTTGTTAAGGTTAATGATTACAATAATTTCTCTGATAGTATTGTCATTATTATACTTTATAAAATACGTTTTTACTTTTGTGATATCAACCACTCAGCCAGACAGCATTGCTTGGATGTGTAAGGGAAAATGTCTCCGCCGTTACAAGGAAAAGTTTATTTCATTGAAGAGGCTGACCAGTGGGACGCTAGGATCAAGCTTTCAAAATGATCACTGTTCCTTTCCTGCAGCCTCATCACAATAGAAAGTTCATAGGCTATCTAGAACAAAATGTTGGCAAATCATTTTTCCTGTGACACATGAGTGTACTGAGCCCCTGTGGTGACATTCTACAGAAAGCTTTGTGTTAGACTAATACAATCCGATTTAATTGCCAGATAATCCAGATTAAACATTGTCGTCATTCCAGTCATCAAGCCGTATGTGGAGTTATGCTGTTAATCCTGACCTATAGCTTCCTATTGTTATAAAATATTGATTTTTTAAATCTGGAAACAAAAGACATTTTCAGCGGGTAATACATAAAGAATCATTGTATAATACTTGTTAAATATAGTAAATGAAAGGGGAACAAATCTTTTGGCACTAGGGATGTTTTCTGCTTGAGAAGTAAAACCATGTTGCTTGGAAATGGGGAAACAAGTGTTCTATAAATATATATTTTTCTTTTTTTTTCTTTTTCAATGAGGTGGTGGTGACAAGTGAGTAGGGATCAGAAGAATGTGCTGAACCAAGGGAATAATATTTGAAATGTTTTGGAGAGGGCTGGCCAAACACGTGGGACGGTGTAGGCAAGTTTGGAAGGAAAGCTGTAGAAAATTGAGACCAAAGCTGAAAAAGAGTCCAATAGTTGAGAATCCCATTTAATCTGCGTGAAATCTATCAATTTGGTTTTATTGATGTTTTGTAACTGACTTAAATTGTTGCTAACTGAGAAGGACAGGTGCAGCCCTGGAAATAGTGGTGAAATGAAACTGTGCAGACTGTACTGTAAACTGTGCAGACAGAAGCATCTTGTTTAAGGCCAGGCTTATGCTACAAAGATTTGTAGGTACGATATAGCCATTGGTTGGGGTGAGAAACCTGTCAGCTGTGCATGTAGTTGTTTCTGTGAAACCCCTAGTTGTAGAAGTGGTTATGTTGACAGAGAGCTTCTCTTGGCATGACTAATGTATATGGGAAGGTGGGTGTTACTATAGTGGCAGAAACTCCTTGTATGAGCACATGCTGTGTCTACACTAGGGGCCTCTGCTGATAGCTATACGGATTAGCTATACTTACCTGCAAATCCTGTGTAATGTACAAGGCCCAAATCTGTCTTGGATAATGTAAAGGTTATTAGAGGTTGAGTGGGAAGAATGGATGTTGAACATTATGAGAATAAAGAAAAGTTCTGTCACTTTGCTGTGACCAGGGTATGAAAATTCAGTGTCTGAACTATCGAGCCTTAGTATCGAACCTTAAGTCTAAATGACTGGATTTCAAATAATTTTTTAATTGCAATAATATAACATGTTGGACTGATATGTTTAAATCTCGTAGTTATTTTTTGTCTAGCGAAAGGGTGTAGTACACCAAACTAAATTACTCCTTCAGAGGTTTTTTTTTTTTTAAATCTTGATACTGTCTCTCTTATTGATAGTAAAGCCACTGACTTGAAAGTTTTTGTCAGACATTAAGTTGGAGCTGGGACAGACCTGGAACCAAGCAAACAAACCAAAATTTAAATAGGACAATTGATCCCTTCTTGCTTTTGCCACATTTTTCCAGTTTACAAATCTGTTACGCTGTTTTTAGCACTTTGCAAGTGGATTCTACAACTTGGTGTTTTGCAAAGACTGATGCCTCTTTCTAAAAGGTGTTGGTCTGGAGCAGTCACAATGCTCTCAGCAGAATGTTTGTATATAAAACACTGCTCTTTGCACTTCATGCCATTAGTTTGGAGGGTCTAGAATTTCTCATGGATTTAGAATATGCTTTGTTGCATTCTTTGTTAGATACAACCATTTAGTTTGGGAAGCCAGGCAGCTGACAATCTCCAAGAATGCACTTTACTGCACTAATTGTGTTGAAACCAGGGCCCTCCACTTAATCTCAATTTATCATAACCAAAATCCACCACACAACTTGATTTTTTTAACTAAGGATTCGAGGGTGGGGCTTGGATCTGACCTTACATGAGAATAAGCAAATGGTTCAGTGCAGCGAGGCTGTGCATTAAAAGCAGATATTATGTTTTTAAAGTGCATTGTTCCACTGGCTGGATATGTATAAAAGGTTCTGTAATTTTTTTTTCTTTTGGCAGATATTATGTTTTTAAAGTGCATTGTTCCACTAGCTGGATATGTATAAAAGGTTCTGTATTTTTTTTTTTTCTTTTATGGGGAAAGCAATTTTGTTGGTGGCTGCTGCTGAAATAGTAACTAGGCTTCCTTATTCTCTGAATTGATGGCAAAGGATGGGTGAAGGGAACCTTTTTTGGTAGTTTACTTAATGTTCAGGTATGTATTAGGTAAGGGTGTGAGAGCAGAAATATTTGCTTTTAGTTAATGAACAAAAGGGAGCGTTAAAGCTTTACTTTAGCCAAAGGAAAGAGAAAATACTAGCCCAGCCAGAAGGACTGCAGTAAATACCCAAGGGGCTCTCTTCCTTCATGAACACAGCAGGTTGTCCCTGATAGACTACTCCCTCCTCTCTTTTGGAAAGAGACATTCTAGGGTTGATGAAAGCAGCCTTTGTCTGTGTTGCAAGCCCTTTCCAAGCAGGGGAGTGGTTCGCCACATGTATCATTGTGCTGTCTAATGGAAAGCTGTTTCCTTATCATATATAGGTAAGTACATCATGTAGATAGATGCTTAATTTCATGGTCTGGGGTTATTTTTTGGGGTGGGAGGTGGTGGAGGACCTGGATGATCTTTTTTTTTTAAGTTTGATTGTTTTTTTTAATCATTCTTTTATCTTTATGGGCTTGATGATAAATGTTGTTTGCATCTCTTCCTCTTGCGATGAGACAGTTTTTAATTCTGTGGTTTACTATATATGGACAAATTGGGATTCCAGATCTTATTGCACTGTGGTGTGTCCCTTCTCCTGACATCCTAGAGGTAGAAAGAACATCTTTTATGGTGTAGTCTGGTTTATTTTCTTTTTCCCCCAGAGCATCCTAAAATTGGCAAGTTTGTGTATTCTTTTTTTGTGTGCTATAACAATCTGAAATGACAGATGCAATTCAATTTTGAAAGAGCTTCCTTTGGGTACTAAGTAATTTATATGTGTGCTTTTTTTCTTGACCTTGTGAGGTGGTTCTGATTTCTGTTGGCCCTCGTAAGGAGCTGGGCTGCTCTGAATTTACACTTTGCTGGTCCAGACTCCAAACCGTGCATATTGACTTTTTAGCTGTTTTAAGTCTAGTAGGCAGCTGCTCTGAATTTACACTTTGCTGGTCCAGACTCCAAACCGTGCATATTGACTCTTTAGCTGTTGTAAGTGTAGTAGGCTGGCTGGATATTGAGGGAAAGGGTATTCTGGGGTTTCAATAAGCAAATCAAAGCTCAAACCACATTCAGGTGTTCAAGGAAGAAAATCTGACTAGTGTGTGACTAAGGTCAGTCTGTAGGGCTCATTATATCTGTCACAAAGAATAGTGTCCCTCAGATTGTGCATTGTGTATCCTGCTCATTTGTATGAAGATCTATTTTTGCTGCTGCTGCGGAGCCATATATGTTTGCAAATAAACTGCAGAAAGAATGTCCCCAGTAGGAATGGCAGTAGAACTTTTTTTTAAAGTTTTCATTTCAACTCATCTGAAGTATGTATCTCATTCTCCTGAGATTGGTCCTGTGTTCTGAAGATGCTCACTTGCAGGTGTTCTTCTGGAGAAGTAACTCTCCTGCAGATGTGTAAATCTGTAAATGTGAAATTGTGTTATTTACGAATGCTCTTGACACAGTGCCACATGGCAGGCTCATAAGCAAACCAGGGAAATGTGGTCTGGATGAAATTACTGTAGGGCAGGTGCACAATGGGTACAAGACCATGCTCAGAGTCGTCATTAAAGGCTTGCTGTCAAACGCATGGCCCCGTAGGGCTCTGTACGGAGTTGAGTCCTAGTCAGTATTTTCATTAAGTACGTGAATAATGGAGTGGAGAATCTGCTTTTAAAGCTGTGGCTGCCACTAATCTGGGAGGGGTTGCTTGTGCTTGGCAGACAGGGTTAGAATTCAAAACCGCATTGGCAAATTAGAGAATTGCTCTGAATTCAGCAAGATGGAGTTCAATGAGACACGGGCAAAGCACGCCTTGAACCTCTGTACTTGGGGCATCCCTGATCCGGTATTGACCCTGGCAGGGGGAGGAGGAAGAGGCTCTGCTGCTCCCCCTCGACCCCCAGATGTGGGAACAGCAGTGAAGCGATGGGCTTCTCTTGATACTTTCCCTGCTGCTCCAGGAGTGCGGAGCCATGTGTGCCCCTGGGAGCGGGGTGCCAGGTAAGCGCCTTACTCCCATCCCTCTCTCACCCAGATCTCCCTGGAAAATTCTTTGGTCAGGTACACCCTATTATCCAGGGTTGCTGGATTAAAGAGGTTCAAGTGTGCTGGTTGGACTCCCTGGTCTGGCACTTTTGGGACCTGACTGGTCCTGAACAAGGGAGTTTGCTGGACCAGGGAAGGTCCCTCCCCTTGTGGCAGTGCTGCCACTGGAATGGGGTTCCAGCCTGCCCCTTCTATTGCCTCATAGTGCCCCAGCCAGAGCTCTGCAATTGGCTCCACAGCTGGGACTAGAATTCTGTGGCTGAGGCGGAGGGATGGGGTCAGAGCTGGTGCTAGACCACAGCCAGAGCTCCAGAGACGGGGATGGGGCCAGAGCTCCCTGGCCACTGGAGCTAGCGAGCTCTGCTGGGGCCAGAACTCCCTGCCATGCTGTCCATCTCTCCCCTCCCCACACACACACACACACTGGGCTCTTGGCTGCACACTGGGCTCTTGGCTGCGTCGCTGGTGGCCCTTACTCTACGCCGCCAGACCTCCCTCTTTCTGAGCTCTGTGGTCCAGGAACATCCGTGTTCCATACCGGACCAGGGAGACCTGGTTAAAGGAAGGTAGAATCTGTACTCCACTTAGGAAGGGAACATCAAATATGTAATTACAAAATGGAGAGTAACTGGTTAGGCACTGTACTGCTGAAAAGGATCTGAGGGTTATAGCAGATCACAAATTGAGTGAGTCAGCAATGTGATGTGGTTGCAAAACAGGCAAGTATCATTCTGGGATGTATTAACAAGAGTGTTTTATGTACGACATGGGAGGTAACTGTCCTGCTTTGCTTGGCTCGATGAGGCCTCAGCTGGAGTACTGTGTCCAGTTCTTGGCACCACACTTGAGGAAAGATGTGTACAAACTGGAGAGACCCCAAAGGAGACTGATAAAAGGCTTAGCAAATATGACCTGTGATGAAAGTTTAAAAAACCCCAACAACAAACAACCTGGGCATATTTAGTCTTGGGGGAGGAGGGAGGGGGAGACCGAGATAGGACCTGATAAGGCTTCAAATATCAAGGGCTGTTAAAAGACAGTAATCAGTTGTTCATGGCCACTGAAGGTAGGAAAATAAGTAAGTGGGTTAATCTGATTTAGGGCGATTTAGGTTAAATATCAGAAAAACTTTCTAACAGGGTTCTAGAGTCATCTTGCAAAGCAGGTTGTGGAATTCCCTGTCATTAGAGATTAAGAATAGGCTAAGCAAACATCTTTCGGGGTGGTGTAGGTATGTTTGGTCTTTCCTCAGCATAAGTGGCTGGATGAGATGACCTATGACTGTCTTTTTCCTCTTGATACATGTTACGGGAAGGGGGATGCAGTTTTTTCAATAGATGTACAGCGTTTGCCTAACGGAAGGAGCTGTGTAAGAACTAATTAAGGTTTGGATTCTGTTCCTTAAACATGGGATTATGTTCAGGGGTCTTAGAAGATGACTAACTTCTGTGAAAGGCAGCAGCAAAGTTGGGTTATGTGCAGGGGGTTGAGCATAGAATGCTGTAGTCCAGAAAAGGCTAGGATCTCAAGGACAGCGATGGCTCCATGCTTGCAACATACCAGGGTGGAAGAACCACAGGCAGTGGAGACGGCAGTTGTCCAGAATCTGAAATGGTATGCTGAAAAAACTGCCTTTCTGGCTGAAAGTGTGGTGGAAATTGAATCAGGAGAAGGTGCGGGGGCAAACTCTTGGGGCCAGCAGGCACCACCCGTGTACAGAAATAGCCAGTTGCCTTTGTAGAAAAGCCTCTGTTATGGTGGCATAGGTGATCTGGTAGATTCATCTTCAACAGCTCATTGCTACAGGATCTATTTACAGGTTCTTCTCGTTATGGATCCTACACAGATCAATGGTTGGGAAGAGAAGAGGCTCCTTATTACATTGTGGTACCTGTCCTTGCCAAGAATGAATGTAAATAAGCAACCATATTTTATGCCTAACATCTGTTGCCTTAACACACCACATTCTCTGCCGTTCCTCATAGAGATGGACCTGTGATAATATTTTCAAAAAGCTCTTAAGTCATGACTTTGAAAATTTGACCCCTAGACTAACAAGCCGCTCAGATTTTTAATGACGCAACAACATCAGTCGCTACTGACCAGTTTACCACACATCTCATTTTGAAACTGGAGGTACACAATCAGCAGCAGCAGAGGTCTCCCCCTCGCCCAAAGCCAATACAATACAGTACTGTGTTAAATGAAAACTACTAAAAACATTAAGGGACAACAGCATTTTTCTTCTGTGTGGTAAAGTTTCAAAGCTGTATTAAGTCAATTTTCAGCTGTACATTTTTCAAAGAATAACCATAATGTCTTCTGTGTGGTAAAGTTTCAAAGCTGTATTGAGTCAATTTTCAGCTGTACATTTTTGAAAGAATAACCATAATGGTTTTTTTCAGCGTTACAAACAACTTCTACGCCCAAGGTCTCGGTAGATCTGAGACCAAGTCCATGCTACAGCCAAAGGTTAGCTTAAGGTACGCAATTCCATCTATGTAAAAAACCGTAGCTGGAGTGGTTGGACTTTAAGCCAAGCTTCAGCACTGACCTCACAGTAGGATGTCGACGGGAGAAATGCTCCTGTTGACTTCCCTTATTCCTTGCATCGTTGATGGCAGGGGACCCTGAGCGCTTGATTTATCAGGTCTTTACTAGACCTGCTAAATTGAACTCCGGAAGATTGATCGCTGCAGCGTCGGTCTTCCAGGAAGTGACAATGTGGCCTGAGCTGCTACTGCAAAATTTTTGGATTTGATCAGAAAATTTTATTTGAGAACATTTGATCTCTCCTCTCCCTTCCTGCAAGACTTTCTGTTGAATCATATTGGTGCTTTCAGAGTCCATTTGGTTAAACATCCTATGTTTATAAATATTTCTGGGGATTGGTCAGGTAATCTGGGGATTAGGTCTTTTTGAAGCACCTGAAAGAAAATAGTATCTTTTTACATTTCAGTATGTGGAATAAAAATGATTTACATATTGGCAAAAAGAATTTTGTTTGCTTCTCCCATTCTTTTTGTTTTGGAATTATTAATCATTTCAGTATTAAACTTTGAAAAGATTGTGTTAAGGTAGGGTAAACAGCAACATGTTTTCTACTACTTTCTTTGAACTACGAAAGGGTGGTGGTGGTGGTCTCCTGGGGTACGTCTAGACTACAGTCTTTTGTCGACAGAACTTCTGTCGACAGGTACTGTCGACAAAGCGTGTCTAGACTACATCCAGTTCTGTCGACAAAGCAAGGCGCTTTGTCGACTTGACAGTGTAGACGCAAAGGACAGTGTAGATGCAA